GAACACTGCCCACTATTCTCCCCTAAACCCATTTGGTGGTTGTCAATTCGACATCTAGACTAATCTTTCTGTCCTCAGACAATGTCGATTTGTGTTAATATCTATTTCAGACTGCCTGCTTCCTTTAGGAAAGGAAGTGTACCCATTTCCGTGTTTGTTTTTTTTCTCTCTAGTGTCTGTCAAAATGCCATCACAGGTGCGTATTAACAAATAAAGTCAGCTTTTCTAGTAAAGAACACAACACAAACGTTCTGTTATCTACTAAGAACAGCTTGTGGGACACTTGAACGGGTACTTCGTAAATATTGTTTAAGGAAGAAAAGAGATATAAGTCCCCACATACCATCGAAATAAATAAACTATTTTCAATTCTGAAAAATTATAAGGACTTGGAATGTTAAATAGATTACCTTTGGGTAGGTCCGAAAGGCGCCGAGGTTCACTTTCCCTGCAGATATGGTTCTTGTTGGATCAATCTATAAAAAAGATGTGTTGAGTACATGTGCAGTCTAAAATCATGATCTATCTCAACTTGTTTAACTGTCACAGACCCGGAGATATCTATGTGTATATAACACTATATGTAGGCACACACAAAACCAGCTTGTTATTCAGGGTCGTTATGTTCCTTAACACAGATCACGGACTTAGCAAATCCCTAGGCAGCCTGGTCCAACCTTAGCTGAAAATTTACATGTCAGGTGATTCAAGGCTCTCTCTCTCACCTCTGCACCTGTCTGTGGATGATCTTGAAAGTGTTCTGAATATTGATTTCATATTACAAATAAATTTAGCCAGCAGGTGAATTCAGAAATATGGAATACGTAACTGATGACCTACTGTATCTCTTTCTTTTTCATACACACACGCTATAACTTAATAACAAATGATAAGGAAAAAAAACTAGGCAAAACCATAAAAATAAAAATTTCAGCATAAGATGAGCAAAAGAGAAATGTCTTATGTTTAATTAAGAAACTGAACTTACAGTTATACCATTTATGAGTGTTAAGATTTATTCAATGCTTTTTCAAAAGTTTTCTTCTTTTTCTTTTAATAGATGATCAATTTTGCCTTCATCATAGAAACCCTGGCTCACATCTGAAACACTCTGAGCAGAACCAGAGCCAAGCTAGCCACACTGACTGGCTGTCTACAATCCACTGGGCACCGAGAAGCAGGTGTTTACTACCTTCACTGAAGACTCAGGGAGGCTGGGAGAGCAGGGACTTGCTCAGTGTCCCAAGTCTAAGGAGCAGAGTCTGGTTGCAGATTCAGGTGGACTGACACCAGACTGTTGCTCTTTCACACACTGTAGTTCCCAAAATATGTTTTCCTAAACCTTTCCGAAGAACTGAATTAGAACTTGTAGAATACTTACTACGACTGCAACGAATGGCTCCTGGAACTGCTGATTGAGCATCTGTGTGCTAACATCAATCCCGGAGAGCCAGCAGCCGTAGCCAGGGTGGCTGTGATACCAGCCAATTGCATTTTCCAGACGGCCAACCTGCCAGGTGAAAAGGGCACGGAAACGTGAGCTTCCTGCTTAATCTTAGAGAAGCTTGTCATTTGTCAGTCTGCCCAGTATTATGATAAAATAACAGCA